TCTGTGGGACGTGGAGACTCCAGTGTGTGAAAGCAGTGGCCCAAGAGGGATGACAGCCCAGCAGTCGTAGGCACAACACGCGACAGCTGAGCACCAGCCTCTCAGGATGACTTCTCAGGGCAGAGGCTCCTCACAGGCGTACAGGGGACCCCGTGGGATCTTCAGCTCTGTTTCCTTTGGTGAAACATGCATATAATGATTGACTGTCTGTGGGGTGGGGCTTGTCGCAGACCATAAAGCAGATGCAGCAGCGGATGCTGGAGCTCCGGAAGACTCTGCAGAAGGAGCTGGTGAGTGCCCCCACAGGAGCTGGCCCCACTTCCCAGCCCTCCCCCTGCTGCCTGTGCCTGGTCCCCCTGAGGTCCCTCGCTGCCTATGCTCCCCCCAACCCCTAATTAATTGCAAGGGGTCACTGGGCAGTCCAGTGTTAGCTGGTGGGCCAGCCTACCAGCCTGCATGCACCTCTGAAGCAGCTCCGTGGCCGCGGCCCTGCCTGCCTTCTCTGAGCCTGCATCCTCATCTGAAAGTGGGGTTGTCTGCCAGGCCAGCACAGCCACGCTCTGACAGTGTGTGTGTGGCAGAGTGCTTGGCCCGATGCGGGATGCTGGCAGCTCCAGGCCCCAGGGACATGTGTTCTTGCCACAGATAAGGGAATATCTGAGTTTCCCCAAATGATGTCACTCCCTCCTCAAGCCCACCTGGAGGTGCTTCCTTCTCAGGTGGGGCCCTTTTTGCCCTACAATAGTGATCATGGTTTGGACCAGGTGAACCTCCTGTGTGATTTTTTTCCACCTGCCTCAGATGGTTCAGTGTAACATCTTTCCCATTGGTTTTTCAGAAAATCAGACCCGATAATGAGCTCTTCGAAGTCCGGGAGAAACCTGGACCTGACATGGCAAACATGGCGCCTTCCGTCACGAATAACGCTGACCTGACGGATGCCCGCGAGATCAACTTTGAGTACCTTAAGCATGTGGTTTTAAAATTCATGTCCTGTCGCGAATCCGAGGTAAAGGGCTTTTGAAGTGTCTTTTGGGTATTGAGGCCCCACCCTACAGTCTGTCCTGCAGGAACCCCTGCCCAGCCCATTTCTCCCTTTTCCTCGTACATCCTGATTTGACGCCCTTGTGGGCGCTCAGTCATTTCTCCTGCTGGCGATGGCCTGTGGAGTGAGCGGCTGGCGGGAGAGGCCATGCAGGAACTGGCTCCGGGTGGGAGATGTGGGCTCCACTTCTAAATCCTGGCCTGGGTGCGGAGGCCGGGAGCAGAATCCACCCATCACTCCTGGGTCCTGCCAAAGGGTAGGGTAGCTGCTGGGGAAATTCCCTGAAGCCTGCCAGGCCCCTGAGGATGCAGGGGAAGAAAGAACCTATCATTGCTGCCAAACTTCAGAGTGCCAGAGCGCCACCCACCACCTGGTCCTGCTAACCAAAGCAAGCAGGACATGCCATGTAGCTCCCCCCACCACCCCACCTCACCTCCACCTTGGCCTATGGCAGCAAAACTTACTGTGTTTCAGGCTTTTCATCTTATAAAAGCTGTGTCGGTGTTGCTGAACTTTTCCCAAGAGGAGGAGAACATGCTCAAAGAAACTCTGGAATATAAGGTAGGGTTCTCTGGTCTACTGTTACAGCTTCCAAAATATGTCCTCAGTCATCCCAGCAGTAGCAGTTGAAGACCCCTTAGCCCCACACGAATGTAGGTAACCAGCACAGCTGCATGATCAGCTTGGCTGCTGTTGGATGAACTTGATCCAGGCATTTTTTAGCAATGACATCCTTTTTGCCCAAACGTCTGTGCTGTACTTGACCAACAGGCCACATGTTTTTCAAAGCATTTTCATTGATTGTGCTTTATTGAGAGCCCCAGGTCTGGCTCAGCACTCAAATTCCAAAAGTGTCTGCATAAATGCTCTAATAGGAAAAAAACCTACAGTTCCACTACCTTATTCCTGTCAACTCAGTGTTTTTCTCCCATTTCCCTCCGGTACTGAGCACGGGCCTGCAGACTGGTTATTGGAACCATCTTGCTGTGCTCAGAGCCAAAGGCAGGATGCGTGGGGGGCAGGAGTGACAGGCTCAGGGGAGGGGAGGGGTGGTTCAGTTTCCCTGGCACTAAGTCCTGATTTGCATCTCAGAAGCCTTTTCTGTTTCAAATGCAGATGTCATGGTTTGGGTCCAAACCAGCTCCCAAAGGCAGCATCCGGCCATCTATCTCAAACCCTCGGATACCATGGTCCTAGAGGGGACTACCCAAGGATGGAGCTCCGTGGGTTGACACTTTTTCTGTGAAAAGAACACTGACACACCAGTCTGGGTGGGTTTTTAATCACTGTAACTGCAGTATTTTGTACAAGCGTCTAAACATTGTTTACAAGACTAAGGCCCACTTCCCTGCAGGCTGACCTGAACCTCAGGGGGTAGCTGATCCTGTCATTCTGGTCACCAAACAGGAGGGTCCTGGCACTACCCAGATTTCCACAGTGCTGCTAATAACCCAGCTCCAGCCAGCACCCTGTCTGCACCTGAATCCTCTAACTTCACAGTAGCACTTACGGCTGAAGCCATCAGCATCTGGCAGGCACACCTGAGTCACCATGTAGCGATGCCGCGGGAGGTAGAGAGATGGTGCCCGGCAGGCGAAACCCACCTGCCTCTGCCAGGAACAGCCAACTCCATGGGAACTCCATGGGGGTGGCTTTTAAAAATTCAGAGAGTTAGAAGCTTTTTATCCCTTCCTCTCAAGAAAACATTCTTTCACCTTGTCTCTCAAACCACCTAGAACTTTAGAGGATCCATCTTTAAGGGCCGGTGTGGATGAATGAGGAATATGCACCTTTCTGATGGTATCTCCACTTAAGAAAACTAGCAAATACATGAAAAGACCCTAAGTATAGTACCAAATACACTCAATTGCCTTTTTAATGAATGTACTTGTCTTGGATAGGTTGCTGGTAAACCATTTTAAACTATTTTTTATAGCTGAAGTTCTTCACTACTATAAACATGTCTTCTGTATTATAAAATCCATTTAACTGGTGTTCTTAAAATCAGAGCGTCCAGAGGGAATTCTTCCTAAAACTAGGATTCCCGTTCCTTTGTCTTCTCACTCGCACTCCGGCACTGCTCCCTCTGAAGCGCAGTGGGGTCTGTCTTGATTCTGTGCTGCGCGGCCGCTGGGCAATGCAGATCACCCGTCTTCTGCTGAAGGACAGTCCGCTGTCTCCAGTGGGGCAGCAGCTGTCCCCCAGCCTTGATGGAGACATTGGGGCAGTCGACCTTGTATGTGGAGCCACTCTCTCCCCCTTATCCCACCCCAAATACTTAAAATGACACTACACCCGGACAGCCCCCAGCTGGCTGCGGCACTTGTAGCATGCACGACTCTGGTAGTGACCAACAAAAATTTGTTTCATGGATTCCTCGTTACTGAGGAAAGGGAACATGCTGGTTCTGGAAAAACCACAATATTGAATCTGAAAGGAAACTGTTTATTGTTTGATGAAAGTTTCACTGGTTAAATAAAAAACTAAATTAATAACTGGAGCTCCTAAATTTATTATCCATTATCCAGTGATGGAAAGTTGTAGTTCTCAATCATGCTTAGGGCCAAAATAGGTATATAAAATGTATGTCACAGAAAAACACCTATTTGCAACGTTAACCTAATGAAATTTCCATGAAGAACCAAGCCAGGGCAGCATCTCCTTAGTCCCAGCTCAGGCTCTCTGCCTTCCAGAGGCACCCTTCTCCAGTGACTGACCACCTCATCTGGCTCCTCCTTGCAGACACAGTTGTCCCTTGTTTAGAACACGAATTTCCATTTACCTGGTGGGAACACGAAACAGGAGTCTCTTCTCCAAGTTTGATGGGTAAGAGGCAGCCTTTTTTCAAAGTAAGATTTTCTTTCTCAACTGTTCCAGGAAAGCATCTCTAAGACTGGGTAGCTCAAAGCCAGCCAAAGGCAGCTACTTTTCCACGGAAGCCCATCCGCTGCCTCCGTGGCTTCTCCAGCCCTCGAACTGGTCCCACACGCACCCCAGGTCCCACTCCTCAGCCGTTTTAGGTGTAGCTGTGGGGCCCGTTCCTAGGTCTGTACTCACTTTAGGGAGGCTTCACTGACTAGGCTTTCCTCCTGCATGTTGAATTTCCTTCAGCTTTAAGAGGAAGAGTGGAGTAAATATTCTAAGTGATTTAATGCACTTTGACTTGTATAAAACTTTGTGATAGCGACGGTATCTATAGCCCTTTATACAAGCAGTGGATCTTGAGCTCTCCTTCCATGTTGTAAATAGGATTGTATTCTTGAAAACTGCTGTAGAAAATTCATCTGTGGTGCAATACACTTTTTGATTAAAGCTCTTCAATCCAGATGCAACTACAATGGATTTTACTAGTTTGGCGTGTCACTATTTCTTGGACTCATTAAATCTGGTATTTTGTGTCTCGTATTTAACACTCCAAGGCCAACTTCAAGGGCTAGAGAATGTTTGTCTTTCAGAAAGAACCTCCCCCGACTGGACTTGGGTGAATAAATGTAATTTAATGAAGCCAACAGCCTCATTCTACCCCCCAAGAATTGCAGTGGTTCTGCAGAGGGGCTGAGGAGGGGAGAGCTGTGGAGGGGAGGACTGTGTCACTTTGGTCAAAGTCTGTATCCAAGGGCTGTATGACCCAGAGGAGCTTCAGGAGTGTGAATGGGGCCCTAACCTTTAACAGAATGCAAGCTGCAGTTACACGTGCTGAAAAGGAAAGAAAAGCGTTTTTGCCCTTCAGAGAGGCTCTGTTATTGGTTATGGGAAACAAAATTATCTCTTCTATCTATTTGCTGATTGCTCCCCATTCCTGACATTTAGTTCTTTAAAGAAAACTTGTCCATGCAGCAGTGATTCTGCAGCACAGCCAACCCAGCATCAGGAGACGTGACCAGGCACATCGGAGGCCCCACCCTCAAAAGATTCCAAGTGCAATCCCACAAACTGAAGACTTCTAAAGCCTAGATCAATTATTAAATGTTTGGCACTTTATTAAATTAAATAAGCTCCAAAATTAATTACATACAAATCAAAGGAGTAAGAAACAATAAATAGTTCATTCAGCAAACACCTCTCTGCAGCAGCCAGCGGCTCTGAGGCCAAGGCTGGCGTCCTGTGGCAGAGGGCCTGTGGATTGCCATGCTCGCTCCTAGGGGTGACTCAGCAGGGGCACAGGTCTACTCCTCCCACGTCGGGTTTCCGGAACAACTGAACTCTCATTCATTACCATCCCATTCATTACCATATTTTTACATATATGAAACACACCGCAATGTATATACTAATAAGCCAAGAGCTTTATTGATGCAGCAGGCACTTTACAATGAGCCCAAGAGTGTCCACCTTCTCTGGGAAGACGGGATGTCTGTACAAACTCTTGGGTTTTTTTCCACTTCAAAAACACAAGCTCTCCCGTTTACCACAGCCCTTGGATCTGCACCTGCCCAAACCATCCCTCCCCCAGTGCACACAGGTGCACCTGACCAACGCCAGCTGCCACTCTGGTAGATCGTCAAAATGTCAGTTCTGCAGTACTCGGAGACAAAGGCATAGACTATCAGATCCTAAACAGGATTTAGGAAATAGACGATTTTTCCCTCCACCTTGAAAATAAAATACATTTCAGCAGATACATGTCCTGAAATAGTTTACTTGGGAGTTCCTAGGAAGATGGTCCATTGTCAATCCCTTCTTCACCAGCCTGGGCATCCAGAATTCTTCTCAAGGTAACATGAGTCTTTTTATTTTTTTTTAAACAGTCTTTCTTGCTGTAAGAACTCTTATAATGGAGCCTAGTCCTCCTACTGCTAAGGCCTGTGGGGGCAGGAAAAGAAAACGTGTCAGATGAGACCTGGCTGGCCAAGGGGAGCCTGGCTTGCCAGAGACAGGGGGGACATTCCCTGACCTAGATCCATCACAGATCCCTTGAAAGAGGATTCCTGAGACAGAGCACATTCTAGGGAAGGAGCCCTGGCCTGGAGCCGTGGGGTCCTGAGAGCTGCCGGCTCTCGAGCAGAACTGGCTTGAGAACGCTGTCACCAAGCACACAAAGCAGAGCCCCTCGAGTTTCCCTTTTGAGACAGGGTGTCACTCTGTCGCCCAGATCACAGCTCACGGCACAGCCTTGATGTCCTGGGCTCAAGCGATCCTCCTGAGTACCTGGGACCACAGGTGTGTACCACCATGCCCAGCTATTTTATTTTATTTTTTTTGAGATGGAGTTTTGCTTTTGTTGCCCAGGCTAGAGTGCAATGGCACGATCTCAGCTCACTGCAACCCCACCTCCCCGGTTCAAGCAATTCTCCTGCCTCAGCCTCCCAAGTAGCTGGGATTACAGGCGCCCACCACCACCCCCAGCTAATTTTTGTATTTTTAGTAGAGACGGGGTTTCACCATGTTGCCCAGGCTGGTCTCGAACTACTGACCTCAGGTCATCTGCCTGCCTACACCTCCCAAAGTGTTGGGATTACAGGCGTGAGCCACCGCACCCCGCCTAATTTGTTTTTTTGTAGAGATGGGGTCTCACTACATTGCCTGGGCTGGTCTCGAACTCCTGGGCTCCAGCGATCCTCCTGCCTCAGCCTCCCAAAGTGCTGAGTTTACAGATGCACACAAGCCCACTGAGTGCCGCCTGCTGAGGTGGCTGGCAGGCACCGAGCTGCCTTAAAGGGACGAGAGGGCCTGGCCTTCCCATCATATAGAGGACTTGTTCACTTCCTTCTGAGCCCAGGAGAGTGGAGGCCAAGGAGGCACAGCACACCCACCAGCAGACCTAAGGCCACAACCACAGCCCAGCACCAACACCGCCTTAAGGACTGGTCCACTGTAAAACCCCTCTCTTCCAACTCAACACTGAGCCTCTGAGGAAGACAGGCAGGTTAGTAACTGCCTGGTCTGCTTTAATGGTGGGTGTGCTTGCTGTGGCACTAGGGGTGTGCGGGGGAAGGTGTGGGAGGCAGCCCCAGTGGTACAGGCAGGACACAGGCTGCCAAAGGCCTTGCTCTCACACAGACCCAAGCGAAAGGCAGACACAGCTCTTTCTGCTTCACCTGGATGAAGGCCATATTAAGCAAGGTCAAGGTTTCTGCCCACTGCTCACTCTGGCCTGGTAAGGCTGAGGCCAGGGCAGGAGGAAGCCCTTAGAGCTGGCTGGAGGACTTTATTTCTAAGAACCCCCGACAGCTGCCTCCACCACTGCAAAGTATCATGAAGCCCCAACCAACCAGCAAGCCCCCCTCCTACCTAGACTCCCCGATCACCTTACCATGCCGTGTTATCTGCCCACATGTCCTGTACCAAGGGCACCCTGTCCTGCCTGGCATAAATCGGCAGCTAAAAGCAAAAAAGTAACTGCGATGACCAGAAACAGCAAGTCCCTACCAGGAGCTTCCTTGGGAGAGGGAAGTGACCAGATGTCCCAGGTTGGGGCTCGTCCTCTGACCCCACACGCCTAGCAGACCGACCTACGTTTGTTCTGGAAAATCCGGCCTGCTGATTGAACACTGGGGCAAGCCAGGTGGCTCACTGGGGTGCATGGCAGCGTTCACATACCTTTTCGTGCCACTGGAGTAACACTGCACTGCTATTTTCTGTGGGCTTCTCAAAGCCTTTATAAATGTACTTCATTAACAAGTCAACACCGTTTCTGTCCAGTGACTGCACAGCCTGCTCAATCTCGCTGCTCTTGAAGTTTGTGAGCACTTTCAGCACCACGCCCTGGGCTCGCTCCTGCAGACGAAAAAGAGCAAGTGAGGCCCAGAGCTGTGCAGGCCGCCATGCCCCACACCAAAGCAAGGACACAGGTCTCCAGAAACACCACCCAGTTCCTAATTCGTCCAGGATGGTTAAAATAAGCAGGCTAGAAGGTCTTCTGTGTATTTAAATTTCAAAGTATCTTTTATTTATGCCAACAAGTTATTCTACTTATTTTGGTGGGAGTAAGTAGTTTACTAGGACAAGTATCAACTCTGAGAGAGAGAGAGAGAAAATAAAAACGAGGGAAAAAGAGAGGGAGAGAGGGGCAGGGTCTCGCTCTGTTGCCTAGGCTGGAGTGCAGTGGTGCAAGCTCAGCTCACTGCAGCCTCTCCCAGGCTCAAGCAATCCTCCCACCTCAGTTAGGGCTAGAGCCACATACCACCATGCCCAGCTAATTATTTTTTTTTAATTTTTAACACTGACAAAGTCTCGCTATGTTGCCCAGGCTGGTCTCAAACTCCTGAGCTCAAGTGATCCTTCCATCTACCAAAGTGCTGGGATTACAGGCATAAACCACGGCACCCGGCCCATCACTATTTTAGATGACACCAATAAAGCCTTATTCCACAATGGTGGCGAACTATCAAAAAATCAAACCAAGTTGACTCGGCTCCAGCATCCCTCTTGTGTTCACACCCAGAAGGGCGGGGCCGTTCCCCAGAACTCTGTGAAGGTGCAGCCATCGGTGACATCCAGATGCTGTCACAGCTGCTAGAATCCCGGCTGCAGGGAGACCCCTTTCCCTGAACCAAATTTTAGCCCTGGTGATGCAGTAAGCACAATTTAGTTTTTAGAAGGTAGGAAAGCCTACAGGTACGTAAAATCCTTGGGCAGACAAAGCCTATTCAGGCTGTAGGAGCATAAGCACCACAGGTGAGCGAATTCATGCATTTTCCTCGTTAGCCAGGGCCAGGCTGACTTCTCAGCCTACGAGGCCGCGAGCGGGAGTGAAGGCTTCCGTGGGGAGTTTCTCGTATAAACACTGACAGCTTTGATGTCAGAGGAGCCTCACCACCTAGGGAGTGCCAGGAGGCTCCCGTGGAAGCACTGCCCAGTGCCAGCTCACTCCCTCTGATGCGGATGAAACGGACGCCGCCCAGAGCCTGGAGGAGCTCACACTCCCACTGGCCAGACACCCACAGCCCTGGTCCCAACAGCACCCAGCAGAGCCGCAGCGCCAGCCCTTTACCTTCACAGCTTGATTCTTGGTGTTGACGGGAGAGTTCCGCAAGGCTGCATGGAATGCCCGAAGCATGTCCCCTGTGCATCACCACCAGTTAAGGATGGCTAGGCTCAAGCACGTCCACGCTGTCATTAACAAGCTCACTTCAGAAACAGCTCAGGGAACAGTCAGATGGGATCTCATCCATACCACCCACCTTCCACGGCTTCCAGGTGGGCAGAGACTGTTTACCGCCCGCACGAGGAGGGTGCAGGGCACCTCTGCCAACCATGCAAACCCTCCTTCTTCCTCCCTCTCTACCTTCCCCATCAAAGCAACTGCCCTTGAGGGGTAACTTGCTGTAAAACTGGACTGCGCTCACTTGCACCTGCTTGGTGCTGGGCACTGTATCTCCCCTGCTGGATCCTCACAGCACCCGTACATGTGAACTGGAGGCCGTTCTCATCTTCTCACTCTAAAAAGGGGGAAATGTAGGTACAAAGGGAGATCTCCCAGCTCTTCATCAATGCTCTTCATCAATTAAACTATTAAGGAAATTTAGATGTGCTAGAACTTCTAAGACCTATTGGGATCAATGAGGTCCCAACTGTCACCTGGAAGGAGTTTATCAATCTAACAGAAGCTTTTGTCAACAACGAGCCAGTCTCCACCCTTACCCCCCCAACCTCAGTTGCAATCCTGACAACACATTCTTTGCTGAGTTCTGAATACCCAGCATGCAAAAGAAAATTACAATCTGGGTTAGGTCCCCAAAGGTGACACCTATTTTAAACTGAATTACATCAGCCAACTTTCATTTCCTCGTGTGAAACACTGGCTTCAGCCAAAAAGCTTCAAAAATAGAACAAGGAATGGCTTCTGCCCAATCGGGTCTCTACTCCTCTTCACGCAGTGATACCCACGTGCAGACAGGAAGGGCCTTCGGAGCAGAGCTGAATCTCCTGGCTTCCCCAGTGTGAGCTCCATCTTGAGTGAGCTGGGTCTGCGCCACCAGGCGAGCCACTCCCAGCCCTGGTTCCCCAGCTCCCTGCTTGGCTCTGATCCACCTTCCACACTCAAGAGGCAGCCCAGTCCCTCTGTCTTTCAGCTCTGGAGTTTCTTTTCCCCCATCCAAACAAGGCCAGCCTGATACCAGCCACTGATAACCGCTACCTTTTAACTCTTTTTTTTTTTTTTTTTTTTTGAGATGGAGTCTCGCTCTGTGGCCCAGGCTGGAGTGCAGTGGTGCCATCTCGGCTCACTGCAAGCTCTGCCTCCCAGGTTCATGCCATTCTCCTGCTTCAGCCTCCCGAGTAGCTGGGACTACAGGCACCCACCACCACACCTGGCTAATTTTTTTTTGTATTTTTAGTAGAGACGGGGTTTCACTGTGTTAGCCAGGATGGTCTCGATCTCCTGACCTCGTGATCCGCCAGCCTCGGCCTCACAAAGTGCTGGGATTACAGGTATGAGCCACCGTGCCCGGACCTTGTAACTCTTTTCTAATGTGGTGTCCCCAAAGCAATAAGCAGGATCCCATAGGCTGAACAGAAAACATAGGCTCACTTGCTCTTCATGTAAACCTGGCACAATTAACAAATGGAATCATTCAAATGATGGATGGGGAAGGGCAGGGATAAGACTAGTCCACGGGGGCAAAAAGCCGCTGCTGTGGCGTTACCTGAGCACCATGTGTCCAGCAATCACTCGGTCCATTGACGGGTGAGGGCCTTCAGCAGCTGGGTGATGTGGGGTGCAGGGAGGGCCTCCCTGAAATCACCTATCATTCATGAAGCCGGCCGTCACACTTGGCTGGCTTTAGACCTTTTCAGAGAATAGGCTGTGGCGCTGGGGGAACCCTGCCCAGCCCTTGATCTCTAGATCTTCCTCAATCACGGCACAACTGACACTGTGGACCCACGATTCTCTGACGTGGGATCTCAGCTGTGGGTCACAGGCCTCTGCCCACTGGATTCCAGTGGCATCCCCAAGCTGTAACTATCAAAATGTTTCTAATTTCCTGAGGTGGAGGGGAGGGGTGCAAAATCGCTCAAAACCACTGCTCTGGACAAAGCCCTGATCCAGAAGTCTAGAAGCTGCTTCACTGAGGGGGAAAGGAACTCATACTTTTAAATCGCCACAAGGTCTCGGATCCTGTGCCTGGTGCTTTCACATGCCATCTCATTCCAAAAATTCCAGTAACAACAATCATTATCTCATTTTAAAGGCAATGGAACTGAGGCTCAGAGAACGGAAATTACCTGCACAGGGTCACAAAACTAAGCTGTCTAGATGGCCCTGGCACCCAAGCTCCTCCCACAATCCCGTGCTGCTATTCTAGCTGCAGACCTGAGCAGACACTTGCTGTGTGCCCCGTGATGCTGATGTTAGCCCATGAGGCTCCCACAGAACCTAGGAAGCCAGCACGGCTGTCTGCCACGTAACAGAGGAGAATGCTGAGTTGTGAAACGGTATGTGACCTATCCGAGGTCAGAGCCAGAGCATGATGGCGCACGGTGTGCGAAGATGCACAGCCGAGTTCCTTCTACCCCATCTGCGTGATCTCCCGCCACACACACTTTCCTATATAGCCCCAGGACAGGGTCCCTCTCTGCCCTCCCCAACCCCAATCCCTCTATCCCTCTCCCTGCTCCCCTGTCCTCAATGGTCTAAGTCCAATTCTTGGCACATGATAGAGACTCAATAAATATCAGTTCCATTCTCCTCCCTACCTGGGTCCGGTATTTGCCAGGGTTTCAGTTATCTTTATCCGCTAACCTCCCTTTCCCCAACCCCAGGTGGAACACTCTCCATGGTAACAAGGTTTCTGACGCTGCCATGAATGGAGAAACGACCATCCCCGGGATGTGCGAAGCCCAGGCCTCTAAGCAGCCTCAAGGAACCTGTTACCAGGCAGGGGAGTCCCAAGACATGACCTTCAACAAGGCTCTGCACCCAGACCAAGGCAGCAGCTGACAGGCTTGACTTCCTCATCTGTTCAATGAGGGTCCTGGGCCAAAGGCCTGACCTTGGAGCCCCCTTCAGCACTGACTCTCCATAAGCCAGGCCCTGCACCTGACTACAACCAACCTTCCCTCCTGGGGACCCTTCCCTTGACCCCATTTCATAACTAGGGTGGACTGGGAGATCCTGATGGGGCAGGAATGACAAGCTTGAATCTCCACTTCCGAAAACACATTCCTGTTCAAACCAAGTCTGAAGGTTTTCGTTTTAAAGGCACACTGAGGAGCACTGCCGGGCTCCCCCTAAAGCAGCAGGCCCCACTTTCCAAGCTGAGTCAACTGGTTCAACACCGAGAACCTGATTTATGTACAGCATGGGCCTCCAACCCTGCCCCCGCCCGTGCGGGGGGAGGGGACAGGCTTCCTGGAACACCATTTGAATAAAGAAAAATCCTTCCGGTGAGAATAAGTCAGTTTCCTGCGCTCATACTGCTAAAGGACCAAGCAAGGCTGTGACAATCACCTCTATTTTTAATCTTTTCTAAATGCTGTTTTCTGTGGCCACAAGAACAGTCATTTCCAGGCGTGGGGCTCTACTTTCACACTTCACTTCAAGGTGTCTGGTTTTTCTTAGCTCTGAACTACTAGTTCTTTCCGCTGCTTCCTGCACCAGAAGGGTACTGGGGGGAGCCAAGACTCGCTTGCTGAGCGTAGCTGAGACCACCAAGGTGACCAGAGGAACCACAGGGTTCCCCTTTCTCAGCATTAAGCGGGAGGGTTAGACTAACTGGGGGAGGAGAGGCACAACCTTAGACCCCAGGGCTGAAATAGGGCGGCCGCCTCCACTCCCTCCTGGGTCCTGTCTTCCCCACAGCCGTCCACCCACCTATCTTCACGCCCTGCGGCAATCTGGCCCCGGAAGACCGCGCCCCAGCCTCACCGATCACTCGGTTACTCAGATACGGCTCACCTCCGCCCCGCCGCCGACCCAGCCCCGCCATAGGCCCGATTTCCTGCAAGGGAGAGACGGAGTGCTGGGGCCCCCAGGAAGGGACAGCGTGAGGGGATGAGGAGGCAAGAGGGGAAGAGAGCGCGGGGCACGCGACCTGCGGGGCTACCGAGGGAGCCCGTCCACCGGGTTCAAGGGCCTGAGGGGCTGCGCTGCACAAGAAGGGGCCAGGGCTGAGGAGGAAGGACCCAGGGAGACCAGGATTCAGGGAGCACGGCCCAGGGGAGTCAGGTCGGCAGGGAGTTGAAGGCTGACCTGAGGGGGCCGGGGGTCGGAGACAGCGGAGGCCCGCCCGAAGGGGCCCGAGAAGGTGGGAAGGTAAGAAGGCCGCGCGCAGGCCCGGACGCCGCGTCAGGGAAGGATATTGCCGCAGGAGCCCGTCCACCTCGCTCGGGTCCGGGCCTGGCTCCGCCGCCGCCGCCGCCGCCTCCTCCTGCTCGTCCACAAATTTGTTCTCATCAAATTCGTCGATGTCCACCCGGCGGAAGCGCGAGGACAGCGTGTTCCGGGCCATGGCGGGAGCTCGGCGCCCGCTCAGCCGGCTCCACTTGCGGCCCGACCTCAGCTCTGCTCCACTCGCACCGGCTCCGGCTCGGGGGCGGGAAGCGGCCACCGGGCTGCTCCCAGCACCTCCTCCACCGCCTCCGCGCGCAGCCGCCGCCGCCCGCCCACTTCCGGCACACGCCGGATCCGGAAGCGTCATCGGGGCGGGGCGGAACCTGGCCCGTGGAGTGCTGTATTGGATCTCCGTGGCCACTCCGACCTCAGTCTCCGTTCCGCGGAGCCTCTGTCTTACCACTGAGGAGCGGCCGCCCGGTATCCTTGCAGGCCCCGCATCGTGTGTGCCGTAACCGCGCTGGTTATCCGGCTTTCCCGCGCCTTCGAGGAACCCCTGGCCTCAGCGGGGCCCGGCGCGGGTTCCCGGGATGATCCCTGCCTGTACGGTGGAAGGCTGGGCGCCCGGGAGAAGGCTCGCGGCTCTACTTCTCGGGTGCTGGGCAGGCTTCTTGGAGAAGAAACCTTCGAGCTGATGACTGAGGGATGAGTAGGAGTTCCTGTGCCCGGGGAGTGACGCGGGAGGGGTCTGTGTCTCGGAATCTTGAACGCCGCCACACTTAGCACGAGGAGGTCGCCTGTACACAGAGGTGACCCTGTTAAAGGAGTGGGAGGCTTTAAAGACGTTTAGTGCGATCAGAGGGCTGACAAGGCGTTGAAGACGTTGTGACTCGAGGGTTTCTGCGACCCCACGTGTGTAGCAGTCACCTTGACCAGGCAGTTGGGGCCCCAGGAGAGGAGATGGCCCTATGACCACCGTCCTGGCAGGAGAGGCCTGGCTTGAGAGGCACATCTTGATAGAAACCAAATTCTCAGAATCTGAGATGCGGGAAAGCGGGTTAGGGAAGTCAAGGACGACTCTGAGGTGTCAGATTTGGTGCCTGGGCTGTTACCCCAAGGGTTCTGTTAATTGATCTTAGCCTTAGGGTAAGTAAAATGGGTCTTTTTATATAATACTGTGAAAAGTGTTTTCATCTAATAGTACTCTTCTTAATAAAAGTTGGAATGTGATTCATTTTTACTGCTTCGAATACTTCTCATTGAACTGTGTCTAAAGATCAAAAAACTATTGCCAGACTATGATGCAACCTAATCTTCCGTGGTAACCAGGATACAGACTCCCATAGTGGGAAACTGGCGCTAAAGAAAAGTCTCCGCCTGTAATCCCAGCACTGCGGGAGCCGAGGCGGGCGGATCACCTGAGGTCAGAAGTTTAAGACCAGCCTGACCAAAATGCTGAAACCCTGTCTCTACTAAAAATACAAAATTAACCGGGTGTGGTGGCGCAAGCCTGTAATCCCAGCTACTCGAGAGGCTGAGGCAGGAGAATCGCTTGAAACCGGGAGGTAGAGGTTGCAGTAAGCCGAGATCGCGCCATTGCACTTCAGCCTGAGCGACAAGAGCAAAACTCCGTCTCATAAACAAAAAAAAAAGTCTCAGGGGTCCTGGAAACACGAAAAGCCCACCTACAATACAGTTCCATATCTGGGAAAAAGTCTTTGTGATTCAGGCCTGCCACGAGACAGCAGAAATTCATATCCCCAGAACATCCGGGTCAGAAGGAACTTGAACCCAGAAGTGCCCATTTTACCAGTAAAGAAGCAGCCCCCAAAGAAACTGGTAAATGGAATAATGTCCCTGCTCATGGTCATGGACTTTCATTCCACCCAGGGAGACAGCATTTAAAAATTCATATTATACTATGTCAGGGCTGACAGTGTTGAGGGGGGAAAAAAATCATGCAGTGCCTGAGTGTGCCTTAGATAAAGTGATCAAAGGAGGTGTCCTGGCCGGGTGCAGTGGCTCACACCTGTAATCCCAGCACTTTAGGAGGCTGAGGTGGGCGGATCACTTGAAATCAGAAGTTCAAGACCAGCCCGGCCAACATGGCGAAACCCCCGTCTCTACTGAAAATACAAAAATTAACCGGGCAAGATGGTGTGCACCTGTAGTCCCAGCTACTTGGGAGGCTGAAGCAGGAGAATCTCCTAAACCCGGGAGACAGAGGTTGCAGTGATTGGAGATCGCACCACTGCACTCCAGCCTGGGCGAGGGAACAGGACTCTGTCTCAAAAAAGAAAAAAAAAAAGACCCGGCGCACTAGCTCAGGCCTGTAATCCCAGCACTTTGGGAGGCCGAGGCTGGCAGATCACCTGAGGTCGGGAGTTCGAGACAGCCTGGCCAACATGGTGAAACCCTGTCTCTACAAAAACACAAAAATTAGCTGGGCATGATGGCGCGCACCTGTAATCCCAGCTACTCGGGAAGTTGAGCGGGAGAATCACTTGAACCCAGGAGGCGGAGGTTGCAGTGAGCCGGGATCATGCCATTGCACTCCAGCCTGGGTGATGAAATGAGACTCCATCTCAAAAAAAAAGGTGTCCCTGAGGAGGTGACACTGAACAGAGACTGGAAGGAAATGAAGGAGGCAACTAAGCGAAGGCTTAGAGGTTGGGGTGGGCTCGGTATATTTGAGAAACAGCCAGGAACAGAAGAGAGATGAGATGGGGGTTGGGAGGAGAGTAGGACTGCGTAGGCTGAGGAAAGGACTCCGTCTTAATTCAAATGGGACAGCTCTGGAAATTCTGAGCAGAACAGTGATATGATCAGAGGTCTGAATTATTTGAAAAGGATCTTCTAAGCAACTGTATTGAGAACACATCTGGGATCGAGAACCAAAGTAGAGAGGTGATTTAGATGGTGACAGCAACTGTCCAGGGGATAGTGGTAGCCCAAGCCAGGCAGGGGCCAATGAGGATGGTGGGAACAAGTTGGGTAAATTTTTTTTTTATTTTTTTGAGACGGAGTTTCGCTCTTATTGCCCAGGCTGGAATGCAATGGGGCTATCTCAGCTCACCGCAACCTCAGCCTCCCAGGTTCAAGCGATTCTCCTGCCTCAGCCTCCGGAGTAGCTGGGATTACAGGCATGCACCACCATGCCCAGCTAATTTTGTATTTTTAGTAGAAACGGGGTTTCTCAGTCGGGCGTGGTGGCTCAAGCCTGTAATCTCAGCACTTTGGGAGGCCGAGACGGGTGGATCACGAGGTCAGGAGATCGAGACCATCCTGGCTAACACGGTGAAACCCCGTCTCTACTAAAAAATATAAAAAACTAGCCGGGCAAGGTGGCGGGCGCCTGTAGTCCCAGCTACTCCGGAGGCTGAGGCAGGAGAATGGCGTGAACCCGGGAGGCGGAGCTTGCAGTGAGCTGAGATCCAGCCACTGCACTCCAGCCTGGGTGACAGAGCAAGACACCCTCTCAAAAAAAAAAAAAAAAAAAAGAAACGGGGTTTCTCCATGTTCGTTGGCCTGGTGTGGAACTCCTGACCTCAGGTGATCCGCCCACCTCTGCCTGCCGAAGTGCTGGGATTACAGGCATTAGCCACTGCACCCAGACAACCTTTTTTTTTGAGATGGAGTCTCACTCTATTGCTCAGGCTGGAGTGCAGTGGCATGGTCTCGTCTCACTACACCCTCTACCTCCCAGGTTCAGGTGATTCTCCTGCCTCAGCCTCTGGAGTAGCTGGGATTACCGGCACCTGCCACCACATCTGGCTAACTTGTATTTTTAGTAGAGACGGGTTTCACCATGTGGGCCAGGCTGGTGCAAACTCCTGACCTCAGGTGATCCACCTGCCTCAGCTTCCCAAAGTGCTGGGATTACAGGTGTGAGCCACCGCACCTGGCCCCAATTTTGTATTTTTTGAGATGGAGTTTTGCTTTTTTGCCCAGGCTTAAGTGAAGTGGTGCAATCTTGGCTCACTGCAACTTCTGCCCCCCAGGTTCAAGCAATTCTCCTGCCTCAGCTGCCTGAGTAGCTGTGATTATAGGCACCCACCACCATGCCCAACTAATTTTTTTTTTTTTTTTTTTTTTTTTTGGTATTTTTAGTAGAGACGAGGTTTCACCATGTTGGCCAGGCTGGTCTCCAACTCCTGACCTCAGGTGATCCACCCACCTCGGCCTCCCAAAGTGCTAGGATTACAGACGTGAGCCACCTCACCTGGTTTCAAGTTGGGTGAATTTTGAAGGTACAGTAGATGAGATTTGCTGGTTGACTAGATGTAGCATGTAAGAGGAAGAGTCACAAATGACTTCAGTTTCGAAAAAGATGTGCAGAGTCATTAACTCTAGTGTAAGCATTTGAAAAACAGGAAAGCCACCGTGCACCATTTGATTTTTTTTTTTTCTTTTTGAGACAGAGTTTCCCTCTTGTCACCCAGGCTGGAGTACAATGGCACGATCTCGGCTCACTGCAACCCTCCGCCTCCCTGGTTCAAGCGATTCTCTTGCCTCAGCCTCCAGAGTAGCTGGGATTACAGGCGCGCACCGCCATGCCTGGCTGATTTTTGTATTTTTAGTAGAGATGGGGTTTCACCACGTTGGCCAGGCTGGTCTCGAATTCCTGACCTCAGGTGATCCGCCTGCCTCAGCCTTCCAAAGTGCTGGGATTACAAGCATGAGCCACCGTGCCTGGCCTAGATTTGCATTTAAGACTAAGCCATGCCAGCAGGTGCAGTGACTCACACCTGTAATCCCAACACTTTGGGAGGCCGAGTCGGGCAGATCACAAGGTTAAGAGTTCCAGACCAGCCTGGCCAACATGGTGGCCAGGTGAAACATAGTAAAACCCTGTCTCTACCAAAAAAAACAAAAATTAGCTGGGCGTGGTGGCGCGTGCCTGTAATCCCAGTTACTCAGGAGGCTGAGGCAGGAGAATCACTTCAACCCGGGAGACAGAGGTTGCAGTAAGCCGAGATCATGCTCCTGCATTCCAGCCTGGGCGACAGAGCAAGACTCCATTTTGGGGGGAAAAAAATACAAAGATTAGCCAGGCATGGTTGCACACACCTGTGTAATCCCAGCTACTCAGGAGGCTGAGGCACAAGAATCGCTTGAACCTGGGAGACAGAGGTTACAGCGAGCTGAAATCGTGCCACTGCACTCTAGCCTGGGTGGAGTGAGACTCTATCTCAAAAAAAAAGAAAGAAAAAGACTAAGCCATGCCAGGATTGCCCTCTCCTCTCTTTTTTCCCCTGTATCCCTCCACTTCCTGGAAGCCTGCCTCACCTTGGTGTGGGTCAAAGTTCATTAACTCATCCAACAAGCATTCATGTGCTGGGCCTGAAGACTAGAAAAATTAATCAGGTGTCCGCCAAGGTTCTGTCCCCAGAGAACTTCTAGGTTGGCTGTGGAAACAGACACATAAATGCATCATTTTATTTCACACTGTTTGGGGCTAAGGAGAGGATTGCACAGAGGAAGTTGCTACTCATAGGAGATGGGAGAAGTCTCCTTGTGGGTGGTTACACCTGGTAGTAACAAGAGGACAATCTGGCTTCAACCATAGCTCTAAGAGGTGGCGTGTCTTTATTAAGGGCAAGGGAGTGGCACTGGAGTACTGATTAATGCCTACTGGTTGGCAGACATTAATCAGAAAACCTAAACATGCCCTGCTTTGTGAATCCTCGTTTCACTTTCTGGGCTCTACTGAAGTGTTCCTTCCTCTGGGAACATGAACACCGATGATATTTTGAGCCATTGTTATGCATCGGATTTGGGGTTAATAGGTTTACAGGTGTCTCCTCTAATTCTCATAAATGCCTCATTTCACATGTCAGCAAACTGAGACTCAAGAGAGGGGAAGAGATTTCCCAAGAGTCTCAACTACTACCTTGGCAGTAGAGCAAGAATTTGAAACCTGGTCAGGTTCACTTTAAGAAAGGCTGTACTAGCTGGGCCCAGTGGCTCACGCCTGTAATCCCAGTATTTCGGGAGGCCAAGGCAGGTGGATCACTTGAGGTCAGGAGTTCAAGACCAGCCTGGCTAAACCTTGTCTCTACTAAACATAGAAAAATTTAGCTGGGCATAGTGGCACACACCTGTAATCCCAGTTACTGGGGAGGCTAAGGCAGGAGAATCTCTTGAATCCGGGAGGCGGAGGTTGCAGTGAGCTGAGATTGTGCCACTGCACTCCAGCCTTGGCGACAGAGGCAGACTCCATCTCAAAAAATATATAAAAAATAAAATAAAAATAAAAAAGGCTGTATGGCCAGGCGGGGTGGCTCACGCCTGTAATCCTAGGCACTCTGGGAGGCCAAGGCGGGCGAATTGCTTGAGCCCAGGAGACCAGCCTGGGCAACAGCTCTACAAAAACTAAACAAATTAGCCAGGCCTGGTGGCTTGTGCCTGCAGTTTCAGCTACTCAGGAGACTGAGGTGGGAGGACTTCTTGAACCCCGTAAGCAGAGGTTTTGGTGAGCGAAGATCGCGCCACTGCCCTCCAGCCAGGGTGACATAGCGAGACCCTGTCTCAAAACAAAACAAAGCAAAAGGCTGGGGGCCACGCGTGGCGGTTCACACTTGTAATCCCAGCACTTTGGGAGGCCGAGGCGGGTGGATCACCTGAGCTCAAGAGTTCAAGATCAGCCTGGGCAACATAGCGAAAATCCGTCTCTACCAAAAATACAAAAAATTAGCCAGGCGTGGTGGTGCATGCCTGTAATCTCAGCTACTCAGCTACTCGGGAGGCTGGGGCAGGAGAATCGCTGGAACCCGGGAGGCGGAGGTTGCAGTGAGTCGAGATCGCGACACTGCAGCCTGGCGACCTGGGCGACAGAGCTGCCATTTATAAATAAATGAATAAAAATAAAGGATGTAAATGCTCTTTGCAGCTCCACATACTGCCTCCCCAGAACCTCTATGAAGTTGGATTATAACTGCCTGAGCCCGCCCCTCCCGCCCACCTCGCACTTTAAATTCCTCCACGACATGAGCCTTGGTTCATCATTTTTGAAAACTTTGGCCCCTCCTCCCCTCAGCACACCCAGACTACTGGCGCCCAGCTCAGAGTTGCCCAGATTGGGAGATCTGCAAGGTTTCCCGAATGAATGAATGAATGAATGAATGGACGAATTCGAGTCCTCCGTGTGCTATCTCTGGTAAGCTGCCGCCCACGTTGGGCCTCGGTTTCCCCAACTGCGCGCCTAGAGCGTGACGCCGACCTGGTTATCAGGGGGTGACGTGAAAAAATGCGAGCACCACGGGGCGGGGCTCCAGCCCGGGCGGGGCTGGCCGTACCACGGCGCTCCTCGGGGAGATGGGGCGGAGCCGGGGCTCCCCGCTGCGGCGCCATTGGCCGCGCCCGCCGCCACCCGGCAGTAGTTGTGGAGGTCAGCCCCGCCTACTTCCTCTTTCCCTCGGAGCGGGCGGCGGCGGCTGCATCGGCGGCCTGTGTAGCAATGGTGAGAGCGGCGGAATCGGGCGCCATCCGATAGCAGTGAGGCGCGGGGGTTGGGGCAGGCGGTGCGGACTGAGTCCCCGGATTCTGTCTGGCAGCCGGGCCTGTGGGGCGCCGCGCAGAATGGTCTCGCGCCACCACAGCCCGCCTCTTCGCTTCTCTGCCGGGAGAGGCGCGCGACCGAGGCCTGGGTTACTCTGCCCGAGCACGGCCGTTGAGGGAGACTGTCGTGAGCCCTGGGTGGGGCTCTGGCGCGCTCGTAGTCGATGGCGAATCGCGCGTCTTTGGGGGCTGGCCACGCAGGTGAAGGGGATACGGCCCCGCGGCCGGGCTGAGCCACACGCTCTCTTGCGCGCAGGCCAAGATCAAGGCTCGAGATCTTCGCGGGAAGAAGAAGGAGGAGCTGCTGAAACAGCTGGACGACCTGAAGGTGGAACTGTCCCAGCTGCGCGTCGCCAAAGTGACGGGCGGTGCGGCCTCCAAGCTCTCTAAGATGTAAGTGAGGCGGCTGGATCACAGCCCTCGTGGGTGGGGAGCACGTGTGCCTCGGGATCGTCGGAGGATTTCAAAGTTGGCTTAAGGAGCTGACCGCTTAGATGCCCACTCCGTGCATCCTGGGGCGCATGGGAGACCCGTTGTGTGCTTAGCCTCTTACCTGCCTTGACCTTGGCGGTCCTTGTGCCTGGAGTGCATCCCCGGAGACCCACCTTAATGGTACCTTCAAAGCTACCCGGACCCTTTCCTTCCGCTTCCCACCAACACTTGAGTTTTTAATTCACCTTTCGCCCCTTGGTAGGTGGGTGACTTGCACCCTGGAGTGGCAGCGTAAGTTATTTTACATGGCTAAGAGTGCGGAGACTTGTGAAAGGAACGTGGGTTTGGAGTTCATCAACCTGGGTACAAAGTCCACTTCTCAAAAAAAATCAGATGGGTGTGGCGCAGGCCTGTAGTCCCAGCTACTCTGGAGGCTGAGGCAGGAGGATCACTTGAGCCCAGGAGTTGGGAGGCTATGATGGGGCCACTGCTCTTCAGCCTGGTTGACAGGTGAAACCCTGTCTCCAAAAAAAAAGGTGGTCGTCCTCTTTTCCCCCAAACAACCTTAGTAGGGGCAGGGGTGGGAGGATTGGATAAGCACGGTTGCACACTGAATCCTCAAGAACCGTGTTGACCAGCCATCTACTAGGTGACTCCCTCATCCTGCCATGACTACAAATAACTTCTGCCCAGCTTGTTGCTTGCTTCAGTCTCCTGGCTTGTAGTGAACTCCAGTTTGCAAATGTCTCATTTCTCCTGCGATTCCCTAAACTAGCCTGATTGCCTGCTTTGTGGCATGATTCCCTCCCATCAGCTCATTGAAACTGGCATTGGTCGGGTCTTAGCCCTCCAGATAAATGCGTGTTCTGGGATTGAAGGTCTTTTCCTGATCTGCCTCATTGATCCAGCCTGCACTTCCGCTGTCTCAGCTGACACTTTACAGCTCAGCAGCACTGGATTCCCTGCCCCATTCCTGGAATGCCCATCCCATGCCCCTCTCTTCTCCCCTCAGACCTCACTCCCAGAACACCTTCCTCCTGAGTGAATATGGATGGGCTGATAGGGGAGGCTGCAGCTACCCCTGCCCTATGTATGGGTCCTGAGCCTTGGGAAGTGCTGTGTGTCTTCCCATCTTCACTGACATCTCTGTTTTGTAGACGAGTCGTCCGCAAATCCATCGCCCGTGTTCTCACAGTCATTAACCAGACTCAGAAAGAAAACCTCAGGAAATTCTACAAGGTGAGTCTGCTGGGGCATAGGGAGGGTTGGCTTCAGGAAGCTAAGTGCTAGCCGTCCCTGGCCAGGGGCCACGGTAAAGAGGTTTTCCTCGGTGCCTGGGGCTGAGAGTGGTTAGCCTTCCCAATCTGTTGCCGGGCTCTCCCTTCTACCAGTGTCTTGCACTGGCATGTGGCTCTGCAGACCACTTCCTCCGGCTGCACATGTCAGTAATTCATTGGGGCTTGGGGTATCCTGGCTGGAGACTGGTTTTGAATCCAGCCTTCCCAGTTGAGTGGCTTGGACAGTGATGGGACTGGCTGTTGAAGGTTTTCACTGCCTCTTACTAGTACTGGGTGTCAGTCAGTGCCTGCCAGGCACCTGCTGTGCTCTTTTTTCAGATGAGGACCCTGAGGCCTAGACACCCACAACCAATGGCATGATGGGCCCCGGTTCCAAACCTTGCTTTGGGGAGGGTCGGCTTGAGTGTTCCTGGGAGGTGTGCACAGGTGTCTGGCCCCACTCTTAGTCTTGAATTTTTTTTTTTTTTTTTGAGACGGAGTCTCGCTCTGTGGCCCAGGCTGGAGTGCAGCGGCCAGATCTCAGCTCACTGCAAGCTCCGCCTCCCGGGTTTACGCCATTCTCCTGCCTCAGCCTCCCAAGTAGCTGGGACTACAGGCACCCGCCACCTCGCCCGGCTAGTTTTTTGTATTTTTTTAGTAGAGATGGGGTTTCACTGTGTTAGCCGGGAAGGTCTCGATCTCCTGACCTCGTGATCCGCCCGTCTCGGCCTCCCAAAGTGCTGGGATTACAGGCTTGAGCCACCGCGCCCGGCCTAGTCTTGAATTTTAATGACCATTTTCTGGTCTTGTCCTTAACATTCGTCTTACTAGGGTTCAAGCAGAGAAACAAAACTAGTGGGAGACGGTGTGTACACACACATCCAACGTATTCTGAAGAATGGGTTTAGGTGATTGTGGGGGCTGGCTGGTGTGGGGGCTGGCTGGGACTCAGGGCCCAGGTTGAAGCTGCTGTTCCCAGAGGGAACTTGGAGGGAGCCTCCGCTCTGCACTTAAGGCTTTCAGCTGATCGGATCGGGCCTTCTGGGATTACCCAGGATACTCTCCCCCAAAGTTACCTGATGAGGGTCTTTAATTTTTTTTTTTTTTTTGAGAGAGTCTCACTCTGTGGCCCAGGCTGGAGTGCAGTGGTACAATCTCAGCTCACTGCAAGCTCTGCCTCCCGGGTTCACGCCATTCTCCTGCCTCAGCCTCCCGAGTAGCTGGGACTACAGGCGCCTGCCACCATGCCCGGCTAATTTTTGTATTTTTAGTAGAGACGGGGTTTCACCGTGTTAGCCAGGATGGTCTCCATCTCCTGACCTTGTGATCCGCCCGTCTCCGCCTCCCAAAGTGCTGGGATTACAGGTGTGAGCCACCATGCCCGAGGGTCTTTAATGTGCAAAATGGTTCCACATCACTACCCAAGTTAGTGTTTGAATAACTTGAAGGTTTGACATGGAAACAGCAGCCATGGCTGAGGAAGTGCCACAGGCCTGTAACCGCAGCTACTGGGAAGCCGAGGCAGGAGATGGCTTGAGCCCAGGAGTTAAAGTGCAGTCTGGGCAACATAGTGAGGCCTCATCTCAAAAAAATGAAAGAAGCCATAGTGTAGCTATGTTAGCTGTTCAGGGGACACTAGCATGTGTGTGGCAAAAGTAAATCGTTAATGTCAACAGCTCCGTGTGGCTAGTGGTTGTTTGGGGGACGGCAGAACTCTAGGGGGTTAGCCAATGTGAAAAGGACGAATGCCTAGCCAGTGCCAGCAGGAATGAGGGATGTGGGAGGACAAAGACTTTCCTGCCTCCAAGTACCCTCCAGGGCTGGCCCTCATTGTCCAGGGATCTTTCTGCAGTCCTCTGGCCACCTGCAGGGGCCTGGGGCCCTGTGACCTCAGAATCCAGCTTAGCTAGGGTCTGTCCTGCACCTGACTTGTTCAGGTCAGGGAGAGCCTGCACGCCCTTTCCCCTGGCCCCCGCCGTGCTTGCCTTTAAGAGACACCTTCCTTCATCTCTCCTCCCCCACACCATGGGCCATTTATTACCTGTTCAGTCTTCCTCACTAGTCTGGGACCCCTGAGCCGGGAGTGGGTCAGATTCTTTGCCAAGCCAGCTCGCAGCACAGGGCCAGTCCTGAAGGGGGCGCAGGGGACCTTTGCAGAACACAGGAGGGACCAGTGACAGCCGCCATGGTCTAGAACCCCCTGCTGGAGAGCAAGTGGTGCAGGAGTGGGAGCCAAGGATGGAGAGACAGATGATGGCTCTGTGACAGCTGTGGGCAGGGGCCCCAAAGCAGGAAGAGGGTGGGGCGAGTGGCCTTGGCCAGCCAGGCCTCTGAGGCTGGACATTCATGTGGGCAGCACCTGGTGGGCCCTGCCTACCGATGGATGGAATACTGCCTCAGCCCCCAGCATACTCGCTAACCAGAGCCGAGGTAGCGGTAACCACACCCAGGGCTTGGGAGGTGCTGCGCACCCTGTACTAGATTGTCATGTGACTGTCCTCCTGACTGGGAATCGGGCAGTGGAAGGAGCACTGAGTTGAGAGTCAACTTGCCTGAGGTGCAAGCCCCAGCTCTTCCACAGCTTTGCCAAGACTTGGGCACTGAGCCCAGGTCAGCAGACTTATATGAAACGAGGATGGCCCCACCAGGCTTAAATTTGGGGGGATTAAATTGAGCTAGTGAAGTATGTGGCCTGCTGCCCGTGCTTTGGTGGCAGCGTCCTCCTGAGTGGCTCTGGATGGCCCTCCCGAGCCCCGTTAGCTGCTGCAGTAGCTCCTCAGACCCGGGTTCTTGGATTCACCCTGCCATCTGTCTCCCAGGGCAAGAAGTACAAGCCCCTGGACCTGCGGCCTAAGAAGACACGCGCCATGCGCCGCCGGCTCAACAAACACGAGGAGAACCTGAAGACCAAGAAGCAGCAGCGGAAGGAGCGGCTGTACCCGCTGCGGAAGTACGCGGTCAAGGCCTGAGTGGCGCGTTGTCAATAAAGCACAGCTGGCTGAGACTGCTTTGTTTCCTGGCACTTCCACTGATGGGGTTGAGGCGGGTGGGTCTGGTTCTGGGGACCACGTGTCTGATGGGTTCCAGCAAGCATCCCGCCCACTGCTGTTGTCTGCTGTGGTTGGGGCCGGGAGAGTCCTGGCCTGTTGGATGCTGGCACAGTCACTTTGGGCCTGTGGTGGGAAGCGGCGTGCCACTGAGGGGAGCGGGTGAGGTCGGCGCCGTCCCAGGTGGTGTTAGGTTTGAGGGTCGCTGGGTGATTTGGTCGTGCGGGATATTCGACGTCTGGTCTGATCGGCAGCTCCAGACACTAAGATTTTCCCATCTGGGGTGAAGGCACAGGTGTGGGCCACATCCAGGACTCCCTGCCAAGAGTGGAGGGTGGGGCTCGAGGCAAGTCCTGCCTTGGGAGAAGCTGTCCATGTTTCCCTCAGTGCCACAGCGCCCTGCCTTACCTTCAGGGTCTCAAGGCACTTCCCTGTGTTGCAGTCCCAGACTTTGACCTGGAAAAGGAGGGGGCATGGCAGGAAGCCTCGCCAGGCCACTGTGGTGTCTGAAGCCACCTCCAGGAAAGTCCCAGACATTTTTTTTGAGATGGAGTCTTTGCCTGAACTCGTGACCTCAGGTGATCCACCTACCTCTACCTCCCAAAGTGCTGGGATTACAGGTGTGAGCCACCGCCCCTGGCCCAAAGAACATCTGAGCCTCTTGGTGTAGGTTTTGTTTGTGGGCTGTATTTGACATTTCAGAGCAGGAGTTCCCTTCTGCCTGATGCCATTTGGGTTGTGGAAATGTCAATGCAGTTGCCAGTGGGCCAGCCCTGACTTTGCTGGCCATTAGGTGGAGAGGCTGGCACCTGGGTCCTGCCCTTGCCCCCTCCTAGCTAGGGCAAGTGGGGATGTGGGCCTTCTGGAGTGAGTGCTGAGGGCTCCTGGTGGAGGGAAGGTGGGTAGGTAGGAGCGGGACAGGCCTGGGGTGGTTACCATGCGGGAATAGCCAGCGCTGGCCAGCCACAGCTCGTTGGGAGAGAAGGCTATGCTCTTCACCCAGGTGACGTGGCCCTTCAGTTGGATAAGCAGGCTGCTGGTTGTGGGCTTCCAGATGTGGATGGTCTTGTCCCAGGAACCGGAGGCCTGGACAGCAGACAGCTCTGATCCCTGGGGTTTGGGGCCTGGGAGCCTTAAGGGCCTGGCTGCCAGCAGGGGACCAGCCTGGAACCCAGGACACTCACTTACCAGGAGGCCAGATGCTGAGTAGCACAAGCAGCTGATGTTGCCACTGTGTCCCTCTAGCGCCTGGTGGGAGACGGCTGGGGTCCCCGTCCGCAGGTCCCAGATGCGTATGGTGGAGTCCCAGGAGCCGGTGGCCTGCAGGCAGCTTCCGTGAGTCTGGCCCCGCCAGCTCCCCACCCACTCCGCATTTAGGTGGGTCCTGGAGTCCATCCTCTTCCCACCGCTCCGTTCCAAGTGGGTATGGGGCCACCACGGTGGGGCCCAGGGCAGAGGTTAGGCTCACCAGGCAGTTCACCGTGGGTGAGAAGTCGCTGCTCTGGACGGAGTCGCGGTGCCCAACTAAGAGGCGCAGCATCTGGCCAGACTAGAGAGAGCCCTGAGCTTCAGGAGGCAGCAGAGGGCAGCTGGCTACCTGGGCCTTGACAGTCCAGGCAAGGGGACCTCGTGCAAAAAGCCCGAGGGCTGCTGTGTGCAGGGAGGCCTGGAGAGGCGGCTGTGGCCAGGTGGGGGCAGCCTTGGTTGCCCGCTGTGGGCATGGGCCCTGGGGAACCAGTGGAGGGTTTGAGCCGGGAGGGCAACACTGGTGACATCCTCTCTGGAACTGGTCCTTGAGTCCCAGGCTGGTGGCCCCAGGCCCTCGACATACCTGCACTTCCCAAAGCATCACCCGCTTGTCCCAGCCACCTGATGCCAGCTGCGTCGAGTCAGGGCTGAAGCTGACCGTCTCCACACTCCGTTGGTGACCTGCAGGCACCAGCCCGGGATCGGGGAAGGAGGAAAGGTGACATGACACAGGACATAGCACCGTCTGAAAGCGAACGCAGGCCTGGCTGCTTGGCTCCCAGCTCACTCACCCTTCAGGACCCGCAGACATTTGGCTCTTGCCACGTCCCACAGGCGGACAGTGCAGTCACAGGAGGCGCTGGCGAAGAGGTGGCCATCAGGGGAGAAGCGGCAGAACTTCACGGGGCCTGGGTGGGTGGCCACAGTCAGGGGACAGAGCACTGCCCGCCACCTTCTGCCCACGCAGTCCAATCCTTGCTAATTTTTCCAGCCTCGTCGCCAGCTGCCCCTCACCCAAACTCCAGCCTCCCAGAAATGCCTGGATTTCCATGGCTTGGCCTGGGCTGGGCTGTCAGCCTTGGAACACCCAACCTCAGTGTGCTCATCTGAAAAATCATCAATACCCAAGTCAAAGTAGGGACTTCCCAGAAACTTGCCCTAACAACCGCCGCCTAGGTGAATTGCCTCCTTTGAGCTCCAAGCCCCTGATTTTCCCTCCTTGCAGCATTAATCAGACTGCCTATAATTGCCTGATTTTTTTTCTTGTCTCCTGAATAATAATTAAAATAGTTACATCTATTGAGTCCTCACTGGGTGCTAGATACTTTGCTTGCAGTGGAAATGGCTCAGCAAGGTGACAGGACTTGACCAAGATCAAAGTCAAAACAGTGGTAGGTACGACATGGCTGAAACTTAAGTACATCATGCTAAGTGAAATAAGCCAGTCACAAAAAGACAAATACTGTGTGACTCCACTTAGAGGCACCCAGAGAGGTCAGATTCATCGAGACAAAAAGAAAAACTGTGGTTGTCAGGGGCTAGGAGGAGGGAGATTGGGGACTTGTTTAGCGGGGACAGAGGTTCAGTTTTGCAAGAGGAAAAGAGTTCTGGAGATGTGAAGGTACTGGATTCTCTGAACTGTACACTTAAAAATGTAGACAACAAGGTGGGCACAGTGATTCACGCCTTTAATCCCAGCACTTCGGGGGACTGAGCGGGGTGGATCACAAGGTCAGAAGTTCAAGACCAGCCTGGCCAAGATGGTGAAACACCGTCTCTACTAAAAATACAAAAAAAAATTAGCCGGGTGTGGTGGCAGGTGCCTGTAATCCCAGCTACTCGGGAGGCTGAGGCAGAGAATTGCTTGAACCCAGGAGGCAGGGGTTACAGTGAGCCAAGGTTGTCCAGCCTGGGTAACAGAGCGAGATTCCGTCACACACACAAAAATATACAACGGTAAGTATTATGTGTGTTACATCACAGTTTGTGTGTGTGTGTGTGTGTGTGTGTGTGTGTTTAAAGAAGGATCTGAGTCCAGGCCTGTTCGAGTCTAAGCCCCAGTGCCCAGGTATCACATCCCATCTCCCGTCCTCCCTAGCCCTGCCTTGCACCCGTGCCCAGCTCATCGGAGGTCACTGCGGTCAGCTCTGCAGAATGCCAGAGCCTTGTGCCTCGGGTCTTCCGAGCCAGGTTTGGGAGCCCCACCTGTGTGGCCACCCAGCCTCCACAGCAGCTGCCCACTCCGGGTCTCCCAGCCGTACACGCAGCCATCCTCTGAGCCTGTGAGCAGCATCTGGCCATCAGGGGAGAAGGCAGAGGAATTGACCTAGAAACAGAGCACAAAAGCGGTCCCATTCCGGGGAAGAAAGCCCTGTCCACTCATCTCTGACCCCTAAACACTGCCCCCAAGAGCCTGGGGTTGGAGCTTGACTTCAAGCTTCACCTCACCACCAGAGCCCAGAACCCGGGGCCCACTGGGCTCCCTGGAGCCCAGCAAAACCAGAGCCTGCAGCTGGCGGCAGGAGCCTTCTCTGGAACATTAGCCTGGAACCCCAGAGCTAAGATCCCATTCCAAAGCCGCGGCTGACAACGGAGAGCCCAGAACCTACTCTAAGCCCTGAGTTCACTTTAGAGCCAGGGCCCCAGAAAACACCAGGGTCAGCAGGGAGCTTTGTGCCCCTCTCCAGGCAGAGCCCAGAGCCCGGGGCTCTTTTTAGAGGCAGAGCTTAGAACCTAGAGCTGCTCTGGAGCTGGGGCCCAGCACTGGAGCCGAGAGCCTACTTTGAGCCTTCTTGGGTTAGCAAAGTCTACTCTAGACTCCATATCCTAAGCTAATGCCCAGAGAACATTCTGGAACCCCCACTACACAGAACCAGGAACCACTCTGCACCCAAAGCCGGGAGTCTGGGCAGAGCCCGCTGGGCCTTACCTCCCCGCCGTGACGGCCGAAGAATGTCACTCTCCGCACGGCCAGGGTGGCCGGGACCCCGCTGTTCATGGGCGCCCGGCCCCGCCCCGACCTGGCGGGCTCCCACCTAGGCGGCCGTGGGACCCCAGGACTGGGCGGAGGAAAGGGGAAACTGTGTACAAGCCGTCTCCATGGTAATCGGGGCGGGGCGTACAGCCACGGTGGGGTCCCTGCAAAGCCACGAGGTCTGACAGGCAGGGCCAGCTCGGAGGAGGTGGAGCCGCAGCAGGTGGGACCCCGGTGGGCTCGGAGAAGGGACTTCCCGCGCCAGCCGCTGCGCTTCCACCCTAGGGCAGCTCTCGCGCCCGGCAACACGGCATGCAGAGCGGCCGCTAGAGGGCGCCCCGGCCACACGCACTGCGCGGCCCAGACCCCGCGCCCTGCCGACTGTGGACTGCAAAGGGTCCCTGCACCCCTTTGAGACAGGGGAGCAACGAGCCTGTCTCCCCATCTCATAACCTGGAGCATCAGCCCTGCCCCACAGGACTCCAGGGGTGAGCCAAGCACAGGGCCTGGCACATAGTAGATGCCCAAGAGGGCCCGCTCAGGAGCCACTACCCCTTCTGTCCAGGAGTGGCCAGTACTGAGGTTGAGGATGTCCCAGGAGAGCGCTGGGGACAGTAGCCAGCTCTGTCCTCCAGGGCGTGGGAGCCAGAGGTAGCGTGTGTAAAGTACATGGCATTAAAAGTGGGGTCACGTCGCTGCTAACATTCCTGGCAGCACAAAATGTGCCATCTGAGGATGGGGTGGAGGCTGGGGCGCAGGGAGGGGGCGGGGGACCAGTGCCCGGGAGCTGCCAGGATCCTTACCGGATAGCGCAGTCTGAAGCTTGGAACGAGCAGGACTTGGTTTCATTGTGAATTTTACAGGTGAGGAAACTCACCCGGAGAGCTGGGAGGACTTGCTCAGAGACACTCAGCCAGTAGGAGTGGAACTGGGATTTCAGTCCACGGCTGTCTGACTCTGGGGGTCTGTACTGGGACCACCTGCCGTGAACTCCAGGGGCCTCGCAGCAGATGTCAAGGTCCACATCTCCTGGTACATCTGGGAAACTGAGGTCCAAAGGGGGCAGGACTTGGCCCAGCCATCTAGCCAGTACCTCTATGGCAGAGCTGGGGCAGGACCCAGTCTCCCCACTCCCACAGCAGGACAGGGAGGGAACAGAGGACCCCCCACCTGCCCTGCCCATGGATTCCAGGCTCCCTGGGGGCAGGGGTGGAGCAGCTGGGCTTTGGGAGCTTCAAACTCAAGGGTTCCCAGCTGTGACTCACACCCCTCCCCCCAAACCTCTTTGCCAGAAACTTCTCTCAGGAGATCCGCTGTGCTCCTGCTATTTTAAGCCCCAGACAGTCAGGCGGGCGAGGGAGCAACAATGACAGCTTTGAGGCAGTCCCACTCCATCCCAGATCCCAGAGGACCTAGGTCACTGTGGAACCCTTCTGAGCTGGGCCTACAAGGCTGTCCCCCAACACCCAGACATGGGCTCCCAGACACAGCTCCCCAGAGCTACTATTCCCTGGCCCTCTGGCCCTCCTGCTCAGGCACCCCCAACCCATGCCCCGGCCCTGGGTACATTGTCCAGCCACTTGGTTACTCCTGCTCTACCCAGAGGGCCCAGAACCACCTTCCCCAGCCCAGCCCTTCACTCCCATAACCCTCAGGTTAGAACTTGTCCACCAGGCCCAGTGTCTGCTTGGCCAAAGGGGTGGAGCTGGGGTCGAAACCCGTGGGCTTGGCTCAGGCGTCTGTAGGTGGAACCACCAACATGAATGCCAGTGTCCGGAGCATCATCTCTGTGGACGAAGTGGTGGAGAAGTTTCTGCCAATTTTTCCACCACTGACTATCTCTTCCTTCTCCTCGGGGAGCCTGCCGCCTTCTCTCCTCTATCTGGCCAGGCTGTCCAGGGAGTGGGCTCCACCAAGATGTCCAAGATGGATGCCATGCTGAGTTTTCTCACTGTTGCTCCATCCCCTGAAGGGTACTGGAGGTCCTGGACCAGCCTTGCCTCTCCTCAGCTACTCATGTCAACCTTAAAACACCCCACAGGGCCAGGCATGGTGCTTCATGCCGGTAATCCTAGCTCTTTGGGAGACCAAGGCAGGCAGATCATTTGAGGCCAGGAGTTCAAGACCAGCCTGGGCAATATGGTGAAACCCCATCTCTACTAAAAACAAAACAACAACAGCAACAACAAACCTCACAAACATCTGCTCAGAAAAAAAAAAAAAAATTAAAACAAGGCAGGCAAAAAAGAACCCTCTATTTCTTTGGATAAGAAAAGCAAGCAAAACCCCCAAATCTCCAGAATGGTCAACTCTCAGGAGAGGAAGGGAGGGACTAGAAAAGGCACGACCCTTGGGGCCTTGAGGAGCCACATTCCAGCTCTAAGCTGGGCAGGGGCCCCAGGTGTCCATTGAATTGTTCCTAAAGAATCGGCCCCACTTATCTGGCCCCTGCCTGCCTCTCCTTACTCTTCGTGGCTTCCTTGCCCTGCCCTGCCCCATTTCTCATCCCCTACCTGTAGTCCTGCCCCCAGTCCCAAACAGTTTAGTGGGGAGCCAGTGTTTCCTGACCGGTGCCCAAAGAAGCAGAGAATATTGTTTTGTGGCAAAAGAGGAAGTAGGAGAGAGAGTTGAGAGCCTAACTGCCCTGGTTTCTTCGAGGTTCCAGCTCCCAGCTCAATACCTGAGCTGCTCTTCCTGCCCTCTAGTTTTTTTGTTGTTGTTTTGTTTTGTTTTTTTCTAAGATGAAGTCTCTGTCTCCCAGAATGGCTGGAGTGCAGTGGCGCGATCTCGGCTCACTGCAACCTCTGCCTCCTTCCTGGGTTTAAGCAATTCTCCTGCCTCTTGTCAGCCTCCCGAGTAGCTGGGATTATAGGCACCTGCCACCATGCCCAGCTAATTTTTGTATTTTTAGTAGAGACAGGGTTTCACTATGTTGACCAGGCTGGTCTTGAACTCCTGACCTCGTGATCCACCCACCTCGGCCTCCCAAAGTGCGGGGATTACAGGCATGAGCCACTGTGCCATGCCTGCCCTCCAGGTTTTAAAACGTACCTGTTCCTGGCTGGTTGCGGTGGCTCACCGCTGTAATTGCAGCACTTTGGGAGGCCGAGGCAGGCAGATCATGAGGTCAGGAGTTCAAGACCAGCCTGGCCAACATGGTGAAACCCCATCTTTACTAAAAATACAAAATTTAGCTGGGCGTGGTGGCAAGTGCCTGTAATCCCAGCTACTCAGGAGGCTGAGGCAGGAGAATCACTTGAACTCGGGAGGTGGAGGTTGTGGTGAGCCAAGATTGTGCCATTGCACTCCAGCCTGGGCAACAAGAGCGAAACTCTGTCTCACAAAAAACAAAAAACACAAAACCTCTTCCTTAAATTCCTCCTTTTGCTGAGTGAGCTCCAGTAGATTTTGGTTACTTGCCACTCAAAAGGCCTTGACTAAAACATCTCTAATTTCCGAAAGCCCCTCCCTACTGCTGTGTCTCTGGGGCCTCTTTCCTGGGCCTCCCCTGCAGCAATTTGCACACAGGGTTCCTGGCCCCCCAACGGTTCCCTAAGCTGTAGTCAATGCCATCATGTTGCTGTGACTTCCCCAGAACCCCAGGTTATCCTTATCGGAATACACTGTAATTTGTCATTAGCCCTCTTAAAAAGTGTGGGGACCAGAACTAGAAGCATGCTAGCCGTTTGGACTGACAGCCACCAAGCTGAAAGGTACTGTCATCTCCAGTTTCCTAGATGCTCCATCTCTAGCGATGCAGTCTGCATTACTAGAGGCATTTATGTTTCCAAGAGCTATGTTATTCACTGCAAATGTACAAGAGCTTTTTCCCATGAACTGCTGTCCAGCCAGCCCTCCCTCCCCCGTCTAGTACTCACATAATGGGTTCTTCGGAAACGCACGCAAGACCTTACATTATGCTGGTGAAAGGTCATCTTCTTGGCCCCCATCCAGCCGTCTAGTCTTGAAAGCATTTTAAAAGTCCCACTTCTTTTGCACAAAGCATTAATTCTGCCGCTGTGGCAGCTGCAAACTTTATGAGCAGGCCTGTGTTCTGATCCAAACTGGGGAAATGATCAACATGACAGAGGTAAGAACGGAGCCATGGCCGGGCGTGGTGGCTCATGCCTGTAATCCCAGCACTTTGGGAGGCCGAGGCGGGTGGATCACCTGAGGTCAGGAGTTCAAGACCAGCCTGGCCAACATGGTGAAACCCTGTCTCTACTAAAAATACAAAACTTAGCCAGGCATGGTGGCATGTGCCTGTAATCCCAGCTACTCACAGGCTGAAGCAGGAGAATTGCTTGAACCTGGGAGGCAGAGGTTGCAGTGAGCTGAGATGGCGCCATTGCACTCCAGCCTGGACGATGAGAGCGAAATTGCATCTCAAAAACAAACAACAAACAGAGCCCTGTGGTCTATCACTACAGACCTCCAGTGATTCTCTTTTTTGCCTCCATACATCAGAGCTAACCCCCCATGGGCTAACCATGGGGTCAGGGAGGGCACAGTCCCTTAGGAAAGATCCGGATCCGGGTGGGGAGGAAGGTAATGTAGATTCTTTTTTTTTTTTTTTTTTTGAGACAGAGTTTTGCTCTTCTTGCCCGGGTTGGAGTGCAATGGTGTGATCTTGGCTCACTGCAACCTCCGACCCCTGGGTTCAAGAGATTCTCCTGCCTCAACCTCCCAAGTAGCTGAGATTACAGGCACTCACCACTATGCCTGGCTAATTTTTGTACTTTTAGGAGAGATGGGGTTTCACCATGTTGGCCAGGCTGGTCTCAAACTCCAGACATCAGGTGATTCACCCACCTCGGCCTCCCAAAGTGCTGGGATTACAGGTGTGAGCCACCACACCCCGGTGGTAATGTAGATTCTACCTCAAGCAGGGTTCTGTGGTTGCAAACAACAGAAACCATGGATGGCCAAAAGGGACCAAGAGGCTGGGAGATCGCAGATGGGAAGAACAGCATCACTGTCACGCCAGGGAAGGGCAGGAAGCAGTGCCACTCACCACTCCCGAGAGCAGCCCAGCACATCAGGATCCTCAGAGGGCTCGTGATTGACCCAGCTGGGGTCAGGTACCTGCTCCTTGGTGAGGGGAGGGCCATCCAGGTTAAGACCTGGGATTCTTCCCCAACCTCCACCCTGGTCTGTGAGTCAATCAGGAAGCTCTAGGTCAGCTTAAAACCAGCTGTCACCTGTGTAGCCTCAGGAGCCAGGCAGCTGCGCCCTGATCTGGCTCCATCACCTACCACCTGTGACCTCAGGCTGGTTACCCAGCGCTTCCGCA